ATCTGTACAGCACAAACATAAAAAAAGTGTGTAACTTTTAACTTTATTGTGCTATTATTTGATTTGACCCTTGATGCAACTAAATGATGCACATCTTAGGTTACCTGAGAATTTTTTTTTACAGTGCTGTTACCAAGAAATTCTATTTAAAAATCATAAAAAAAATCTCACACAGAACAGCTTAATTCTTTATAATATAATATAATATAATATAATATTGCTCATGAATTCCCTTTTTGAGGTCAATTATTTATTAGGCTGATAATATAATATCATATCATATCATATCATATAATACAATATAATTAAAAAAAATAATATTTTCAATAAAAAAAAAGTGAACGTGAATTATTTTACAGTTATCTAAAACATCCCCTTGTACTACAGTTTGCACACTACTACACCGGTGTGTAACTGTAAATTTTATTTATTTACCTTTATTTTACCAGGAAGTCTCATTGAGATTAAAATGATTCCATGCCCGGGGTGCGTAATAGGAAAATGCCGTTTTCTCCAGTTCTGTAAAAAACTCGAGGTGCATTATAAAGCAAACACTTGGAAGAGTGTAGCTGGTAACTGCCTGAACTAAGACCAAGTAGGGTACAGAGATCAGCTGGAAGTTTACCTATTATTGCTTTATAGATAAAAATGTACCTTTGCTGTTTTCTACGTATGGTTAGTGATGTCCAACCCACCATCTCATATAGAATGCAATGATGAGTACAGGATTTTGCATTTGTAATAGACCGTAATGATGCATGGTACACTGAATCAAGGCTCGTTAAGATAGAAGAGGCTACATGCATGTATAATGTATCACCATAATCAAGCACAGTTAGGAAGGTAGCTTCTACAAGTTTCTTTTTGGCATTAAAAGTAAAATTAGATGCATTTCTAAAATAAAAGCCAATCTTCACTTTTAGCTTCCTGATTAGATTAGCAATATGTACAATGAATAAACGTTTATCGTCAATCCAAATGCCCAAGTACTTGTAAGAGGGTACTCTTTTAATAGTTTTACCATCAGATGTAAAAATGCTAAGATTATCAAGTACTTGAGAATGAGCTTTTGAAAAAAATATAAACTTTGTTTTCTGTGAATTTAAAACCAATTTTAAGCTCACCAGAGCACTTTCAAATAACTGAAATGCTGTCTGAAGCTCTTTCACCGCCCGTGTTATAATTGGAGCCAGAGTATGTGAGCGGAGCAAGGAGTGGAGCGGTGTGATTTTTGACTGAGCGAGGAGTGGATTTTTTGAAAGTCGGAGCATCTTGGTTTTCACTCGCTCCGAGAGCGCTCCACTACCGCTCCATCATGAGCACAATGAATGCCAACAGCCCCAAATAAGCTGCATTTTATCAAGAATTCACGCATTAAACATCATTAGCTAGCTTGACAGATATGTGGATCACTCAAATCAGAAAGAAGGTGAAGATATGACGGCGATGGACGAGTGCGTAAGGTTATATCTCAACCATGTTTGTTTGTAGCATGTGGATACTCAATATTGATTTATTAGGATGCAGTTATTAGGATGTGAACCGGGTCTTCAGAAGACAGAAGACTAGGAAAGCTTCAGGCCCAGACGGTGTTTCACCTGCCTGTCTAAAAGTCTGTGCTGACCAACTGGCCCCCATCTTCACAAAGATCTTCAACAGATCTCTGGAGCTTTGTGAAGTTCCCTGCTGCTTCAAACGCTCCACTATAATTCCAGTCCCCAAAAAACCCCAAATCACTGAACTTAATGATTACAGCCCTGTTGCTCTCATGTCTGTGGTCATGAAGTCATTTGAAAGACTGGTCCTGGCCTACCTGAAGGACATCACTGGACCCTTGCTGGATCCTCTTCAGTTTGCGTACAGGGCAAACAGGTCTGTGAATGATGCAGTCAATATGGGACTGCATTATATTCTGCAACATCTTGATAGACCTGGGACCTACGCAAGGATCTTGTTTGCAGACTTCAGTTCGGCCTTCAATACCATCATGCCTGATCTTCTCTCAGCCAAACTGACCCAGCTCTCCATACCCACCCCAATCTGTCAGTGGATCACCAGCTTCCTGACAAACAGGCAGCAGCTAGTGAGGCTGGGCAAACTCACATCCAGAACTCTCACTATCAGCACTGGAGCTCCTCAGGGTTGCGTTCTCTCCCCACGGCTCTTCTCCCTGTACACAAACGAATGCACCTCTAAAAACCCCTCTGTCAAGCTCCTGAAGTTTGCAAATGACACTACCATCATCTGCCTCATACACAACGGAGACGAGTCTGCTTACAGACAGGAGGTTAAAGAGCTGGCTGTCTGGTGCAATCACAACAACCTGGAGCTGAACACACTCAAAACAGTGGAGATGATAGTGGACTTCAGGAGAAACCCCTCAGCGCTCCCTCCACTCACCATCATGAACAGCACTGTGGCTGCAGTGGAGTCATTCGGGTTCACAAGACATCAAGAGACTACAACAGACAATAAGGACTGCTGCAGAGGATCATTGGTGCTCCCCTGCCCAATCTCCAAGATCTCCAAAGATTATTTGAGATGGACTGAAAAAAATTGATAGAAAATATTCCCATGCCAGTTCAACATCCTGTATGAGAGCTACTCTTCTAAGATCACTATAATATAAATCATTCAAGAAAGCCTGCTCCTCAAATTTTTTTTTATATCTTTTAAAAATAAAACGGGGTTTTACCTTAGGGGTTTTTGTATTCCTGACACAAGCAATTACACAGTGATCACTGACATCATTACAGAATATACCAGTTGAAGTAAATTTATGAGAAGTATTCATTATAATTAGTCCCGCTCCCGCAAGGTTCTATTCCGCACCTACCCGCTCCCGCTATATATTCACTCTTTGTTCACCCGCTGTCCGCTTAGAATAATTTTCTTCCCGACCCGACCGTTCCCGCTAAATTTAGATAACTTATTAGCTATTTTTTTTTTTTTAGAAAAAGGGTCGTAGAGAAAAATAAATAAATACGACATCTGTCATTTAAAATTATAGGCTAAGCAAAATATAAACAAAACCGAGTTGAACGTCTTTCAAGGACAGCGCATCCACACTTTGCTCCATCCTTATTCTGCTCTGTCACTCATCGACAACCTGCCTGTTCTGTCTGAGGGCCGTATATTTACCACAGGTACAGCCTGCTCTGAGCATCGTTATGCACATGCTGCGCACAGACCACGCAAATAAAACGCGTGACAGTAAAAGCATGCGTGCAGCGGTAAAAAGCATGCGTCCGAGTGCAGGCTGTACCGGTGGTCAATAAGAATAAAGCGCAGATATGCTGTTCTAAATGGACGTCGGGAACGGGATATTGTTAGACCGCCCGCTCCCGTTCAAATTACACCAGAGTTACCGACCGCTACCGCTATTTATTTGGGAATTTAATCCCGCGGCGCAAAAAATCTGGTCGGGTCCCGCAGTAGCAGACCTCTAATCTGAGGTCCCTGAGAGCCAGCCCCATTTAAATCACCCATAAGGATGAACGTGGAGTCATTTAACTAATGTAAAATATCTGAAAAAGCTTTGAGAGCCTCCTTTGTGGCACAGTCGGGGGTCTATGACAGCCAACCTCAGTGATATTAGAGCTTTTTGAAACACTCACGTTGATGGACAAAACCTCAAACTGTTTAGCTCTAGTAATTGACAAAGTTACAGAGCTAACAAAGCCAGAGTTCTGTGGCAATCCAATGACATCTAATAAAAGTATAGCATACAAAGTTCCCAGATTGAAAGAAGTGATGTTTTTCTTGAGAGAACCACTCATTCAGACTTAAAAGAGATTTAAAAAAAATCTTACATAAAAACTCAGACCTCATACACTGACACTCAAACAATAAACTGCCTTGGCTGCCATCTTGGAATTTTAGTCGGAGTGTCCATGGATTTCCACCACTTAATCAAGCCACTCTTCTTTAAAACATGATGACGTTTTATTTCTCATGTCATTACCTTTGCATTGGTTCTCGTGTGGCGCTATTTCGTCCGCAACCATTAAAGTATTACATTTTTACATGGGCTGATTTGGCGCTCATCATTCTCTTTCTATGAAACCTGTAAACCGCATTCACTGGTTCTATAGCGACACCAACTCTATAGCGGTTTGCCCGAGCATTGCAATTATTTAGCATTTACTAGAATTCAATCAAATGGCTTTTCCAACTCATTTTTGCATCTGTCCTTTGTGCGGCATATTATTTCTGTGTGCGGCCGTGCACGTGCATAGCTTAAAGCGAACATTGCTGTGGAGGATTTTCTCTTTAGGGTTGGGTTAGGGGTTAGAAAAGTCAAGTATGTGTGTGTGAATGTGATTATATGCATTTGCTTGTCCAGTGAATCAGATAGAGCTCAGAGATGTCGCCTGGAGCTGCTGTTGACCAGAACAAAGATACGTCTGTTCACAGACGAGATGGCACTGACTCCCACTGACACCCAATACATATACACACATCACAGAAGAGATAACACCTTCTCTGTGCCGCATGCCCCAAAATTGAACTCTCTGACATTTGTGTTGAAATAAGATTTTCTGATCAAGTCTCTATGATTGTGAGATCAGAATTTAACCTTATTAAATTGATTTAAATGGCCTTTGTTTCACCCATGCACATCTGAGTGGCATTTGAATGAACTAATTCATTTATTTAATATTTTTATTTTCAGATAGTTAATAAATCAAAGGTAAATGGAAAAGAGGTGGCTTTTGTTACACCAATCAAATATTCCATGAAAACTTTGGTATGCAAGAAATAACCTACTGGGTGATCAGGACCCTGAGTGCAAGATTGTCCCTCTTATTACACGGCTGCTTTCCAAATATATAAATGCACATGAAATATTGATTTGAGTGTAAATTATGTTGGAAAGATAGCAGGGAGTGATACAAGAGACAAGAAACTAGCTCAGCTGTGTTGGAAATCAGTTGGAAATCTTTAACCACACTCAGCAAATAGTAATAATCAGTGATGTTGTTTCTTTATCTTCACAGCTTGCAATGTAACCATTCACAACCGCTGCCGTGACACACTGGCCAACTGCGCCAAAATGAAACAGAAGGTAACAGTCAATAAAGGGGGGATAATTAACTAATGAGTATAACACTCAGCTGGTGACCAAATATTTGTCTGTTTGGCATATAAAATATCAAAAATTACAGTTTCACATTGGATGAAAGGTTATGATTTTTTTTGTCTAAAAGGCAACATTGTGATCAGATATGCAGGAAGCTAGTGTTCTTATGTTCTTATGTATCCAATAATACAGACTGATAAATGTCAACTAACTGTTTGTAATAACTAATATAACTAATGGAGCAGACTTTCATAACATACTGACACCTAAAAACCCTAGTTAAAGGGTTAGTTCACCCAAAAATGAAAAACGATTATGTTGTTTCAAAACCATATGACTTTGGTTAGTCTTTAAAACACAGATGAAGATATTCAGATTTTATATAATGAAATCTGAGAGATTTCTGTCATACTGTAGGTCAGGGGTTCTCAACTCTAGCCCTCAAAGTCCACTTTCTTGCAGAGATTAGCACCAACCTTTTTAGCACCATCTGCCTGTAACTTTCTAGTGATCCTGAAGACCTTGATTAGCTTGTTCAGGTGTGTATTATTAGGGTTGGAGCTAAACTCTGCAGGAAAGTGGACTTTGAGGGCTATTGTTGAGAACCCCTTGTAGGTACTTGCTGCTGAAAATAAAGAGTGCTCCATATAAATAAGGCAAGTAAGTACAGAGTTTTTTTTTTGTAACTAGGACTTCTATTTAACTTGATTTAGTTTAGTAAGTCTTATGTGAATTAAGGTAGTGAGTTAGCACAATTTTTTATAGTCTATGGGGGAAAAGTTTAGGATATTTTGCTTATTATATTGCATTGCCTAGTTTCTCAAATTATTGAATCTGTGTGATTATTTAATTGCATTAATTCATATGAAATCATATAACATATTAATGAATTGTAGCAACAGAGGCTGGCTCTGGTCAGGAACACCGCAACTTTACATAATGTGGCCCTCCGCAGCAAAAGTGAGTTTCTCTCTGTCATTTCTCACATCTTTTATCTAATATTTATAGATATATTTTTCTTTCTCATGGCCAATTCCTGTCACTAATTCATAATAATAATACAACTTCTTTAAACCAATATCTTGTTAGTGACCAGTTGCAGTACAGACTGTAGTGGCATTTGATGTGGAATTTTATTGCAGTATGTTGCAGTGCTGGTTAAACAGTATCTTCTCATTAAAGAAAAGATTTTATTCAGTAATGTGTTTTCCTTTGGCAGATCCAATATTGAAGGAGAGGCCGAGTTCAGCCATTTACCCATCAGAGACGCTGAGACAGTCTTTCCTCGGTTCCCGCAAAGGACGCTCCACGCTGTCCCTCAGCAAGAGCGTCTCCACCAATAACATTGCAGGGTATGAATCTGATCACTATTCACAGACACAAACTGAGTGTGTTAATTATGTCATTTTTTTGTGTGTGTTGTATTAAGACTTCTCTATTAGGGTGTTTGAATTAAGTATCATGTCAAATCAAGTACAGGAAATGTAATTAAAAGTAATGACAGAGTGATGCATATAGGTAAGGAAGAACAGATGAAAGGCTGCTGAATTCATGAGTCTGTGTGGCTCTCAACAGTGTTCGGCAGCAGCGTCAAATATGTATGTTTAACTGCTTCAAAAATGGCATTGTTACCACCTTGCTACTCCAAAATGTCTTTTAGCTTTTCAATTGTGATGTAATTTTATTGATAAAGTCACACAGCAGCAGTAATAACAACATTTTGTGCGTAGTTATTTTTCTGTGTGTGTGCGTGTGTGTGTGTGTGCAGAGAGAGAGCAGGAGAACGAGAGTGTGCTTTCCATAGATTAAAAAAATAATAATAATAAAATAAAAAAGTTATTTAGTGGTTTGCCAACTAATCAGAATCAAGCATTCAACTCTGCTGGTATAATTCAGCTCTGTGGTATAAATTAAGAATATAATATTAGGATTGAATGCAGCAGTAGGTGGAAAATATAGACAAGCTGAAGACATCAAACAAACTTTAGAAGTGTTTTGAATAAATAATTCCATTTAGATACATATGCTAACGTGTGGGCATATTTCCTCAAATTTACCACAAAGAATTTGAAGACTCTCTTTCCATGATCTGCCATAGGTGCTATAATAACTTTGGTGGTTGGCCACTAGTTTTCTGAAATATTTTTCAGATTTTTTTTTTTAATACAAAAATGAACACTGTTACTTAAGAGTAATGTTTTTACAGCTCTCTACAAAGTCCTCATTCACTAATGCTTGCGTGTTTTTGATTTTCTAACAGAAGTCTGAATGATGATTCTCCTGTCGGACTGAGGCGGATTCTGTCTCACTCCACAGACTCTCTGAACTTCAGGAACAGAGCCATGTCCATGGAATCCCTTAATGATGAAGGTAAAAGTCAAGGCATTCACAAAACAGAATGAAAATGGGAAGGCATATGTATAGTTCGCTGCACGTTTCTGCAGGAGAAATGTATTATGCATCAATGTTGGAGGAGCTGGAGAAGGATGGGAAGGATTTTGAGGCAGATTCCTGGAGTCTGGCTGTGGACTCTTCTTATCTACAGTCTCAGCGCAAAGACGTCATCAAGAGACAAGACGTCATATACGGTGAGACTTCTTTTATTTTTCAGACCTTTTGAAAGTCATGGACCATACTTTTTACACAGTTATACTGTCAACTAGTTCTGGGATGAATCTTATGTTGTTACATGCGTGCAAGCCTCAAAAACACTTATGAGAATAGATGTTTGGTACCTGTTTTGGGACGCTTATTAAACCGTATCTAAACCCAGTCCACACCTGATTAAATCTTAAACACTTATGTCTAATTCTCCTCTTCATTTTTTGGCATTTCACAACACATCAGTTGTTGATTGCATGTGAATGATGAAGGGAGTATGCAGGTGTCACCATCGGCAAGTAAGCAATAAGTGTGTGGGCGGTTAATATTATATGAATTGATGTAGTTATTTAAAGGTTAAAGTCCCTCACATCTGCAAAGGTGTGCAAAACTATCTGCAAAAACACATCTGCAAACTATCCCTTAAAGGGATAGTTCACCCAAAAATGAAAATTTTATGTTTATCTGCTTACCTCCAGGGCATCCAAGATGTAGGTGACTTTGTTTCTTCAGTAGAACACAAACGAAGATTTTTAACTCAAACCGTTGCGGTCTGTCAGACATATAATGGAAGTGAATGGGAATCACGGCTTTGAGAGTAAAAAAAACATACACAAACAAAACCAAATTAAACCCTGCGGCTCGTGATGATACATTGATGTGTAAAGATACGAAACGATCGGTCTGTGCAAAAAACTGAACTGTATTTATATCGTTTTTTTACCTCTGATTCACCGCAAATGTAAGTGCATAAGTGCATTACCGCCACCTATCTCTCAAATGGACCATTGACACTCTATCTACAATCTCAATTAGGAGTGTCAATGGCCCATTTGAGAGATAGGTGGCGGTAATGCACTTATGCATTATAACTTATAAGTCTGCACTTATAAGTCTGCGATCTGACGTAAAGCAAGAAGAAGACGCGTCAAATTATATGACTGACAGACTGCAACGGTTTGAGTTAAAAATCTTCGTTTGTGTTCTACTGAAGAAACAAAGTCACCTACATCTTGGATGCCCTGGAGGTAAGCAGATAAACATCAAATTTTCATTTTTGGGTGAACTATCCCTTTAAGGTCTATTTAGATTGAATGTAAAATGAAAATGCTGGAAGAGAATGAAAATGTGGACTGCTTTTCATAAAGATGTTCCCATGTGGTATGAATAAGACCATAGGAAGCCATTGTTTCTTTTTTTTAAATGTTACTTTGCACTGAACATTTAGTCTGAATAGCCCTTTAATGTAAGCACATTTCGTTAAGTGTTAACTGTATACCGTCTCTCTTATCCGACACATTTAAGATATTTAAGGTCTCTGTTAACAAGCTGGTGAGTTAAATCATATAAATAGACTAGACAAAAAAAAATATTGTCAAAATATTGGATCTGTGCATAATCCTTAGTGTAGATGCTTCCTTTGTACTATCAGGCACTCTGTACTGTAATGGCTTTCTTTCGATAAATCAATGCATCTGTGTCTTTTAGAGCTGATTCAGACGGAGCTGAACCACGTGCGTACGCTGCGGATCATGGAGGGGGTGTTTCGCAGAGGAATGCTGGAAGAGGTGTTGATGGAGATGGGTGTAGTTCACGCCATCTTTCCTTGCTTAGATCAGCTGCTGTCTATTCATTCAAATTTCCTGAGCCAACTACTGCAGAGAAGAAACAATAGCCTGGCACCCAGCAGCACCCGCAACTTCACTATCCAAAAGCTGGGAGATATACTGGTGGAGCAGGTGAACTTCTGACATACAGCTCACATAAGAATAGTTGGTACTTGCTATAGCAGTTACAGTTAATAATGCATAATTACTAACAACTAAGCATAAACCAAACCCTAATCCTATAGTAAGTACATGTTGTTAATTATTTGGCCTACAAAAAACACATCACTCCTGCAGCACTCTTTGACGATTGCCATATAGAACTGTCAATCAGTACATTTACATGGACAACCATACTCCGATTTTAATACGATTAAGACAATACTCTGATTAAGAATCATGTAAACAGAAGTGCTCAACCGTTTGACGGCAAATAAAAGAGCTTCAACACCGCCATCATCTGTTTGCACGTACAAATAATTAACTGCATGTGAAGCTTTCATAAAATTAAAAATGAAACACCCAAAACTGTACATGGCATCATCACGAAGACGAACTATATGTTTATACGTGAAATTCCGGAGGAGACGTCGGATGGCGTCACGTGGGGACGTAATGACGTGTGCCATTAATCGAACTATAACATGTAAAACGGAACATGAAAGGAATATTCTAAAAACAACTAATTTAAACACCATAATCATAATATTGGCTTATTTAGAATAAGGTAAATAATTAGATTACTGATGTCCATGTAAACGTAGTCAATGTTAAATTTACTAGTTCAAATTAAAGAACAGATGTCGTAAGCCTGGAATTTCCTGCCAAATACCGACACAACGGCTCAAAATTTCAATCAATATTGTAAGCTTATAGTAGTGAATCATATAAGGCAAGAACACAGATTTTTTTTTAAGCACTCTTTCAATAATGGAAGTCTGTTCATTTTTGACCAACAAAAATCTTCCATAGTGTAGCTTCACGATAGAAAATACTATGATTTCGTGACTTTCAAGGCCTGGGTATCACAATTTTTAAATTCTTTGATATTTTCATGACTGTGGGAACCCTGGACCTTGGCTCTCATACTCATAAACTGACTAATTTTATTATCCAACAAACGTGTTACTGTGGTCAGTAAATAAGAGATATTGGAAACACAGTCTTAGAATGTATTTGTGATGTAAATATCTGTAAGGAGGGAGGCGTAACGACAAAGTGGGGATCCAAATGCAAGGCTTTAAGTGAGACAGCTGAGAACTGATGATGAGATCTGATGAGAGACAGGTGATGCACTTGATGAGTCCGGGCAAAGGATTATGGAAAATGGAGTCCTGAGTGAATGGCAAGGTACAGAATGGAGTGCCCTCTAGAGGAGCTCATGGGCACTCCAGCTGGAGATCATGACAATATCAAAGTGAATTTGTGGAATATCAAGGAGAATTGCATTTTAAAGCACATTGCATAACACTTTTTTTTAGGGTCATCAAATAAACATGCATAGAATTATTTATTTATTTATTTAGCCTCAATAGTTTCAATAGACATAAACATGGACTAAACATGCTCATATGGGCACAGTAATACCTTGCACCCTTCAAAGTGCTTAGTTCAGTTGTTCCTACTGAGTGAGTAGACGTCAGCCATTTGTCTTGACTTGAATGAAATTTTCTTTGCTTCAGTTCTCAGGTCAGAATGCGGAAGAGATGAGGAAATGCTACGTTGAATTTTGCAGTCGACACTTGAAAGCTGTGAAACTCTATAAGGAGCTGTTGGCCCGTGACAAGAGGTTCCAGCAGTTCATACGGGTGAGAGTGTAGCCAGAAAAGGACATGCATGTCAGCATAAGGTTCCAGTAAATTTTTTGTTTATTGAGTAGAATGTTTTTAATAAACTATATTTTTTAATATTTGTTTTACTGTCAAGCGGGTAAGCAGAGGCTCTTTACTGCGTCGCCATGGTGTCCAAGAGTGCATCTTACTCGTCACCCAACGCATCACTAAATACCCTGTACTTATCAAGCGCATACTAGACAACACTAAAGGTGAGACTATACTCAGACATGTACTCCAAAATTACAGCCAGTCCTTGTTTAATCATGTAAAACTACATTCTGGCTTTGCACTGCATGATTTTGTATAATGTGCAATTATAGACAGCATTGTTCGACTTTTTTATTATTATTATGGAATTAAACCACACCATGTTGGTTCATCTGGCCAGAGGAAGGTTTTTTTTCCCATTTCTGTCACAGATGGAGTTTTGGTTCCTTGCCACTTGCTTAGTTGGGTACACTTACAGTAATATTCAGCAATGTTATTGAATTGACTGTGCAGACACTATTAGATGAGAACAGAACTGAAAATTTGCAAAAAATTTATGAATTACGTATTTTATACCTTTATTAGTTTTATTTTTTTTAAATTATAACAAATCACACATTAGTTACATCTACATGCACCCAAATAATCCGTTAGTAATCGGATTGATGGCTCATTTAGATTGAAAAGCCTTCATGAAAACACTTGAATCGATCCACTGAACTTGAATGAAATTTCGATCAGATTGAAAAGGGTGGTGTAGACCTGAAATAATCTGATAAATAGGAAACAACTAAACTTGTATAAAACTTGACTATGACTATCTTCTAAATTAAATATAAAAAAAAAACCTTGTACCTTTCGTGATGCATATGTTTAATAGAGCCCTTTTATTATAAGATTTCTGTTTACAGATGTTTTACTTCTTACGAACGTGCATATGTTTATTTACGTCTTACAAACTGTTCAGTGTGGAGACTGAAAATTGAGTAAATATTTGCTATAAAAAGCTTTTATGACATATTTGTAAGCTTTCCTTTTAGGTATGTCATCAAGGCAAAAATGACAATTATGCTGCGCTGAAGTTTTCTTCTAAACACATAAATGGACATGCAAACATATTGCAAAGTTTAGGGTTCATATAAACAGAACCTTCAGAATCTAAAACCAGACTGAATTAATTCGGATTGACAAAAATGAGTGCATGTACGTAATATACCTAGTGTGTCATCCTTTCATTTCAAACACTTTAGTTGAATTACTTCACGAAAATCAGCATCAACAGGTATTGTATGCGAAAGAGGAAGGGAGCCTAGTGCTCATCAACCACCTAGTTCCTGGAATCCGCCCTGGGTTTTCCCTTGCTCAGATATGAGGTGAACTGAGAACAGATTTGATTTGATTTCACAGGTAATGAAGAAGAGAGTAAATCTCTGGCTGACTCTCTGACGCTCATCCGGGAGCTGCTGTGTTCCGTGGATCAGCAGGTTCAAGAGTTAGAGCGAGCACAGCGTTTGCAGGAGATCCAGTCCCGTCTGGACCCGCGAGCTGAGACGAAAGTTAAGGGTGGAGGAGTGTTTGGTGGAGGAGAGCTGCTGCGCCGTAGACTCATTCACGAGGGAGCACTGCTCTGGAAGACTGCTCAAGGCTCCAGACTCAAAGGTGCCTTTAGTGTTTATGTGTGTGAGTAAGTGAAATAGTTGGTATATGGGTAGATTTATCAGTAACTTTGTGTTTTTTTCTGTATAGATGTGCATGTTTTGTTAATGACAGACATCCTGGTGTTCATGCAGGAAAAAGACCAGAAGTATGTTTTTCCCTGTCTGGTGAGTCACAGCTTTCTGTTGGCCAACGGATTAATTTACAGTGTGTTCTCCATCATGCTACATTAAAATCAAACTGCCTAGACTGAAAAAATTATACTTTGGGTCAAGGAAAAAATACTTGTTACAGCTAAATGTGTTCTTTTTTCTCAAATTATATTTTTTATATATTGAATATTAATCAAAAATATTGGTAACACTTTATTTCGATAGTCCACTTTAGACATTCTATTAACAGTAAGTAACTTTGCAACTACATGTCAACTAGCAGTTAGTAGAGTATTAGTAGACTGTCGTAGACACTTTCTTTGTCAACTTATTCTACTAACCCTAAACCTACCCTAACAGTCTACACTGAGAGTTAGTAGACATGTAGTTGCAAATTAATGAGAATTAGTTGACATGTAGTTGCAAAGTTACTTACTGTTAATAGAATGTCTAAAGTGGACTATCGAAATAAAGTGTAACCAAAATATTTATTTTCCCACAGACAAAAACGTAAAAAGATTATTAATTATAAAGACCATAGACCATACTTGATCAATATATTTTCTTTAGATGTGCCAAAATATTACTTTGTCACTTTACTTTACTATATTTTATTTATTTATTTATTTATTGCTTTTTACACCTTAATTTCACATAAACAAAAGCTAAATTAGCTATAATATGAAAGTAGAATTTTCACTTAAGATGAAACTTAAAAACATTTTGTTAGTTAATGTTTAATTAAGTTTCCTTACTGTAAATAAAGACAACTTTGAAAGACCTTAATGTGATGTGCTTTTAAAATATGCACAATGAAAAAACACAGAACAATTAGTAAAACCCACAATAATTTTTGCAGTCAGTTTGTGTTCTGTGCATCAACACTGGTGTTAAGTAAAAACACAAACATTTTAAACATTTTTTTTTTTCCCTGTGGGAAGTGTTATTTGTTTTTTGGATGTACTGAACCAAAGAGGCTTAAAGTGGAAATCTTGATTTTCGATTAAACCAATAAGTACCTTTTACTTTTCACAGGACAAACCGGCAGTACTGTGCCTTCAGAATTTGATTGTGAGAGATATAGCCAATCAGGAGCGAGGAATGTTCCTCATCAGTCACTCCACACCTCCAGAGATGTACGAGCTCCACGCCGCCTCCAAACAGGACAGAAACACTTGGATGAAACTCATTCAGCGGACAGTGAGCAAGTCAGAGTCAACTCAATTCCTTGCCCCAACAACTCGATGCACTGCTTAAATATCTCTGCACAGTCAACACCAAACACTTCATCACGTCATCTCTGTATTTCTCTTTTGCAGCTGTCCATCAAGAGAGGATTTCCCTCTGATTGAAACTGAGGACAAAGCTTTGCTACGACGACTCAGAGGTTTGTATCAAACAGGAAATCCAACACTCATCTCTATCTGTTGTCAAACCCCATTTGCTTTGCTTAGTTTTCTTTCCTTTTTGTTTCGTTTCATTCTCTCTCTAGCTGATATCCAGCAGAAGGATCGTGAGGTTTTGGAGCTGTTACAGGAGCGTGTGACATTGTTCTCTGATTTGGCCGAGGCCACCGGAGGTCAGAATGTTAATGTTCCCACAAACTCCAGAAATATATTCAGAGCAGATACGCCCTACGCTCCCCCGGCGGAAAAGCTACTGAATGACGCCATTGTTGAGGGTAGGCAGAGGAGTGTACAGCATTACAGAGAATACTTAGTAATAAAGGACATTAACACTGCTTTCTTATTTGTTTCTAAATTCAGTGGACAGAATGAGTGAAGTGCTGTTGGGTTCCTGCATTGAGCGTCCACAGTCCTGCAGATTGAACGGTGAATCGACAGAGGTACAATTCACCTCTAAAACAACAGGTACCATATTTGTCATTCGCATACATTGTGATCTATGTTCTTTTTTTTATTTAAAAAACATGTTAATTATCTAAAGAATATGTCTGTAATGGGGCGAACGAGAAGTGAGACGTGCGGATCCATATGCAAGGCTTTATTTCCAAGACGTGGTCATATAACAGGCATAGGTCAAACTAGGGCTGGGCGATACAGCTAAAAAATTTATCAACGATATAATGTTTCATATCGTTCGGTATCGATAATTATTGAAATTTTTATAACCTTTTTTTAAAACAAAAAGCAATAGAAAAAAAAAGTTTAAATTTAACCACTGTATTTATAATTAACAATTTATTGAGACAAACAACAAATATTTTTTGTTTTAACAATCAAACGCAATAAAAATTTAACAAATATCTAATTTCTAATGTTTTATATGCAGATTAAATAGGTCTTTATTGTAAAGGTCTAATTGTCTCCCGAGGCCACAGGAGGACGCAATGAGGAAAATAATGCAGCGCATTTAGCAAGTAACTCTATAAAAAAAAACGTGCATTACGTCTAAATTAACTCATATAAAT